TCTCTCTAGGCACCTGCTCCGAGAATTAATTGCAGCCCGAACGGGTCACGGCAATTTCGCGGCATACAATCGCCGTTTTAATAACCTACACGCTCCTATGGAGTGCTCTTGCGGGAAGGAAACTACTCCAACCCACTTCATCCACTGTAGCCGCCACGCACAACACACGCGTAGGCTCAGAAAGTCAATGTCCCACGTTGAATTTATCAAAAAGCTTCTCGGGCCCAAATGCCACGAAAGCTTCAAAACATTTGCGCAGGAAACCGGCTGTTTTGATAGACGACCTGCTCAATCATCCACTGCTCTCAGCGGGGATCAGATTAACTAGTCATTGCCACAACACATGACAAGAAAGGGAACGAGGCGAGAAGTGTCGTTTCTCTGAGGAAAGATTGTAGCTATTTGGATTTAGGGAAAAGGATTGATTTTTGATCTAGGAGTTGGAGTAGGTGGTGTCCGCGTCGTAATTTACTTCCTACTATTTCTGTAGCAAGTCCAGCGGTTGAAATGAATTGGGCCTGTAAGCAGTGATCCCCGCCGACTCCACCAGTCTTGTACCTGTAGTGGACCTAGAGCTTTAGCTTAGGACTTTATAATAAAAAAAAAAACCCCTTCGTCAATTCGAGAAATTCGAAAATTCATTTTTTCCCTCTTTCCTCCCTTCTCGATCTCGTCGCATCTATCTCTGAATTGTGATCGAGCTCAGACATTTTCACCATGCCTCCAGTTAACAAAAAGCGTCCCAACGCCAAGTTGGACAACACGAGAGTCCACCCGAGGGCTCTCCAACAATTACCTGGCCTTGTCCAGTCTCCGAAATGCGCGGAGATGAGCAAGGTCTCTACTAAAGGGAAGGAAAAAGCCCTCCCCACCGTCACTAAGCCCGATACTGACATGATCGGGTCTGTTGAAACTGTTGAAGAATTTCCTCAACCATCCTCCGTCCCCCACGGGATTGGAGAATCGTCAAAATCTCCCCTGACCGCGCCAAAACTGTCGGAGAACGCTGCACCCAAAGCAGCGTCAAAATCAACGTCGCAGCCCAAAGCTGCCACGAAAGCAGATTGCCCTCCGGAACGTCGACCCATTATCGAAGCCGAGCAACGACGTGCCGCCGAAACAGCGGCAAATCTGGCCCTTTGCTCCGCCGCCATCTATGGCGTCGGAGTCACCCTTCTTCCTTTGACCAACGGGTCAAACAGACAATTTGTAGACTCGATGAGAGTCTACCTACGCGCAGCCATCGCGCAATACATGGCCACGGGCCCGGCCTCCACGCCACCCGTCCTCCCTCCTCGCCCGGCGAACCCGATCCCAAGGGCTCCCGACGTCAGGAGCACAACGATTTCCGCCGTCCCAGCGCTGCCTATAAAAAGCACCTGGGCCACGGTGGCCAGAAACGGACTGTCACAAAAAGCAGTCCCTACTGTTAAGGCTGTTCCGCGACCTGCGGCAAAAGCCCAAAATAAAGAAGCTCCGAAGGCTAAAGTCGACAAACGACTGTTCCTTCGCTTAGAGAGCGATCACCCATGGCGCCAGCTTTCGCCTGACGGCATAAGGCATCAATTATGTAGTAGGCTACTGTACACCTTGAGTGAAAAAAGCTCTATACACCGTGTCAGAACCGGATTTGCGATTCTGACAGCGGATGAAAATGAAAGGGAAGAGCTCTTAGATGCCTCACCGAAGTTGTCGGACTTCAATGCCAAAATCGAGGAAGCCTCCAACCTTGTCGCCTTTCGGATCGCGAATGTTCCAGCGACTATAAAATTAATCAACCGTATTGAGACGGTCGATGCCGGTAGGATCTCACTGGAGATTTACCGCAAAACACAACGACGTCCATGCCAGGTGCGACCGCACGGGACATGTCTTCCTGGAGCGCCATACAAAAACTGGTATGCCCTTTGCAACCGGGACTCCGCCCCTCGTGCGGGCTTCCGAATTCTCGACGAGTCCGGAGCGGCTACAAAGATCCAGCCTCGTTGCCAAATTGAACAGTGCAAACGCTGTTTGGGCTTCGACGCCACTGGTGGTTGCTCCCGCGCCCCAGCGTGCTGGAACTGCGGATCAAACATGCACTCGGAAGCCGAGTGCAAGGCCCTCACAAAGTGTCGCAACTGTGGGGGACCCCACCGATCGGATTCTCGGGACTGCAAAGTCAGACCCAGAAAGTCTGGACCGGTGACCAAAGAGCAGCTCGCGTGGATCCGCCACATCGAACAAGGGGAGTTCGCGAAGGTGGCACGAGCAACAGCAAAGAAGGCCGAAGAGGCAATCACCGCCGCTGCAAAGGACGTCTCGATGGCCGAGGCTACAGGTTTTGGAGTTCTGGAATTTGAAGAAGTTTGAGGACACAGCAACCTCGGCGATGTCCCTTTTGGGGCATATACTAACCAATAGCAGGATACCGGCTGGATAAAAAGTGACTGCTATCTCATCTCTTGCTCTCAGCGGAGATTGAGTAAATTTTTCATTTGGAAGATTTGGCAGGAAAGGGAACGGGCGAGAAGCGCGGGATCCGGACCACATGAAAAATCTTGTAAATTTGATTTCAGTCTTTGGCTTTCAGTTTTGATTTTAGTTTTTGATTACAGTTTCTGAGTTATAATTTACCTGCTACTTTTTCTGTAGCGGGTCACGCGGTTGGAATGAGTTGGGCCTGTAAGCAGTGATCCCCGCCGGCTCCACCAGTCTTGTACCGATAGTGGACCTAGAGCTTTAGCTTAGGACTTTAATATAAAAAAAAAAAAAAAACCTTCGTCAATAACTGCCAATAACCATCACCCAAGCTATCTCTATTTTCCATATTTCCCACACGACAGTCTTTTCTTTTGGATTAATCAACGTCGTGCCCGCGCGCAGCACTTGCCGGCGCCCTGAGGAGCCCAGCATTTTCTGTGAAGCCTAGAACATGGTATCTAGCGCCTTACTATACATATCTGCTACGGAGAAGCAAGCTCTTCCACTGAGTCACTTCAGGGCTATCTAGTAGAGTATGCATATCTACATGATTCATGAGGGAAGAAGTCCTTGTTGATTGGGATAGTTCAAGTTGTGGAGGTAGGAGATCATGGCCAGCGCATACATGCCGAGCTCGTCATGTGGTTCCCGCATGATGATATCTACTTGTATGTGCTAAATGAACCTTTAACTTTACCGTTGATATAGAAGAATATATTCAATGCCATGTTGAAAATCATAAGTCTCAGCGGAGGAGTATTTTTGAATTCTTTTAATAACACCGGGTGCATGGCATATTCGTGTGTGCATGTGTGGTTCTATTGTGCTACTTGAGTCTAGACTATCTAGTACATGGAAATCCTCCCTGGCCCAGTCCACACCTTGTGCAGTGCTCCTGGCCTATTTTGTTACTTGAGAGATTATTCATATTTTGCCCTTGATTAATAGCCATTCAGCTCAGTTTATACCCGTGGAGATGGGCCACACTTTCCACGGAACCTTCTACCCAAAAAAAGAAATAAAAAACGTAGCAATGGAAACTGCGCGCGCGGAAAAAGTCTCAATAAAGACCTGCAGCCCCAGCTGGGCGAGGCCTAGACACTGGGACCACATGAGGTGCGCATATTCATCTATATCTCCCTTCTCTGTAACATTACAGATCAACTTGGTCAAGTCCACTATAGCCGTGTCGGGAGTTTAGTAAGCTCTGGAAACTCATGGGATGCCTTTCCTCCATGATCAAGGTTTGATGATGAGAAGGGCTTCGACCCTACCTTCTGATCTAATCATGGAGTGCAGGCGACACTTTAATCACCGCTATGGTTGGATGGTGCGGTGGTACATCATCTTGGCCGGTCTGACAAATAAAGTCTGAATAGCTTGGGCACACATCCCACTTGAGACAGGAGACCGCTAGTCTGAATCCGGCAAAATACAACTATATTTCTCGCGGCGCTGGTATGCATGGAAGACGAATGCATGGTTGGACAATCAAAGGTTTTGTATATACCTTTGGTGGGTACTTATGGAGGAGGATCAACTGTTTGTGTAAGCAAGCATACCTCTAGTGGTATTTGCAAATGAAATCCAGAGTATGAGTGTCTCTAATGTCAAAAGAGTTATCTAATATGTATACATAACATCGGTCATGTGTCACGGCTTTATAGCTCCACACAAATTAAATGATAAAAAAAGATCTTATTTTGGTTAGCTTCATGATAATGGTGATAGGGGACTGTGTTGAAAGATGAAGACGATATAGACCGCGAAAGCGATTGGGAAAACTCATCGATGTGAGGACTTTGTTACTCAATCTCGGCTCTACAGACTCTTCGGTAAGAGCTGGAGGCTCGTAGGGGACACCTCTGACAGATGTTGATAATGGTCCCCCTGCATGGCATGTTGGCCTTGGCCCATTAATACTTGTCTAGCTTAGTTTGAAGCGTTGGCACGTCGGATACCTAACTTAGATTAATCTGGCCAACACGAGAGCTCACGGTTGTGTTGGGAGCTAGCACGTCGTAAAATAAAAATCAAACATATATGAAGCGATTTGCTAACTATTTGGACATATCTAAGCGGATGGTAGCACAAAGAAATTCGATTTAGGATACGTAATTGGGAGATTGATAAGAAACTTTGCAGGACTGAATACTTATCTAGAGTTAGTAGTGACTGAAATTATAGATATAAACATCTCATGACTAGATAATTACGGCCGTTGGCTTCACGGCTGGTCTCACATGCGACGTGAATACCTGTCCATATGTACATACCTAGGCTTGTTTCGTAGTCTTAGTTCCCCAGAGTCAACTTGCACCACTAACGTGATTGTTGCCTACGAGAATAGCCTCCCTTTCCGAGTCGTGACTTAGATGGCCGAATTGATCATGAATGAAAAAGAAAAATTAACCGAAATGCCCCAATTTTAAAAAACCCGCTGTACCCAAATACAACAAAATCAGTGACAGCGGGAGCGCAGAGTTTCTCAGATAAGTTATGCTTGGACGAAACGACGACAATTTGAAAAAGTCTTGCTACTCCTCCTCACTATCCAGATTGTTTATAACTACTGGAAGTTTTAAAGATACATGTGAGTCTATTTGTTCCTCAATTTTATGCTTTTTTGTGCAGCGGGTGTATTTCCTTAAATCTGGTCTACGAGACGTTGTATAATAAATATCTATCATTTTCCCTGCTGAGTCTACACCTAGCATGAAAAACAAATGATTCTTTTTGTATTTTTCTGGATATGTCAATAAAGGGAGAAGAGGGGGAAAGTAAACTGACCTGAGATGTTCTCTTGCGAGCGGATTGGCCATAACCATACCCGTCCTTCTTGTGTCATCATAGGATAATTACTTGCTGTGGGGGGATTTCGCAACTTTTCTTCAAGTAAAGGCCTGACCACATTTAGATTGTCCATGACCATTCGCAAATTTAGGTTTTGACCGGCGCATGGAATCGTGTTCTTCTTATGTAATAAGATCGACTCGTCATTTGCATCATTGAGCCGCTTTTCAGCATTGTTAGGATTAAACTGAATTACCCTTGCTTCTGAACATCGCTTGACACCCCCGTCTTCGCTGTAGATCATACCGTATAAATTGCATTCATTATCAAAGACGGCACCGTAATATTTGGATTGGCCTGTTGAAACCTAATTAGATTCCTTCGAATAGTAGTAAAGAAATCAGTTAAGCTTACCCATTCCGAGATGTTGTTCAGTTGACTTGGGTGGAAACATCAATAGTTTGCTGGAAGAAAATATATTCTTTTGGTGCGGTGGTGTGACAAATTTATGCTTTATGATTTCTCTTTTGCACCCCCGATTCACGAGTTCAGAAGCAAAATTTTTCGTAAACATTACATTTTCGCCGCATTTAAATCTAGCAAATTCGTCTACCGCCTCACCATTACTTGGAATTGGTCCGGGTTGGCTTCCGATCGTTATGAATTGAGGGCAGGAAACTAAACTGGCTTCTTTATTTCCATTTCTGGGCTTAACGATGACGGCAACAGCGACAAGATCGCAGGAAGTTGTGATGATTATCCGGAAGGGTCCCGTATTTCCTACGCATGACGTTAATATAATCCCTTCTGACCCGCCAAGGGCTGTGTAGGAAAATTTATCAAAACCTTACCCCCCTGATATCTCATGTCTCTCAGGAATAAGGGCCAAGAAATAAGTCTGCCATAATTTTCTTCGCCAAACATGTAATTTTCTTTAAGGTATGCTGGGTATTGTGAAAGCTCGGGCGAATTTTTGAGCGCGGAACATGCATCATTCACACGTAACCGTACATGATCGGCTTTGAATATGACATGTACACAATTATAATCGAAGACTTCGGCTTTAGATGTTCTGGTTTGCAGTGATTGCGCAATTGCCTTTCCCAAGAGCGAAGAAGAAGCGTGAAACAATCCAATTAGTGCCGACAGAGCAGTCAATTTGCAAGTCATATCTTGTCGAGAAGGCCAGGCTCAATATACTTAAATACGAGAATCAGAGGTTCAGGAGATCAGAAAAAATAGACAAAATTATCAGCAACAAATGTTATGGATCTGCTCCCGATTATAAAGAACAATTGTACTCGAGTCAAGGAGAAAAGTGGAATTCCTTTCTTGGGCCTCACCATGGCAGACGCATGATAATTCTGACAATGGGGCTTACTGCACCTACACCCGAGTCAGTACTGCCATCTCTATAATTCTCTTGTAATCCCCAGATTAAAATTGTTCGCTGACAGCCCTACATGAACAACATAGTGGCAAGTCAGCTAGATTAAAATGTTGCCGAGAATCGGTAGTATATCTACGCAATTTGCCTAGTGCCATACCAAGACATAAGCTAGGGAATGATTTTGTTTGGTGTTTATCGTGCTAATTTGGCTACGACTACCAAGAACATGAGGCTCCTCTCTGATCCAGGATACACTTTGTACAGTGCTCCCATCCTCTTTTGAGACGACAATAATCTCTCTGATATTATACACGTGGCAGATACACATTAAGCTCAGTGTTCAACAATGGAATTTGGCCACATTTTCCACGGAACCTTTTACCCACAAAAAATAAAATTGAAGCAATAGAAATGGTGTGTTCCGAAACCCCTTAATAACATACAGCCCGGCCAGGTGAGTTGCTTATATCTATCTACATTTCTCTTGTTTGTAAAATGAGAGGCCAACTTGATCTAATCCACAACCGCCGTATTGGGAGCTGGATGGCTTCTTTTCCGTCACTAATAAAAACGAGTGATGATAGTAAGTTTCGACTCTCCTATCTAATCTGATGACGGCTAGCTTTATGATAATCATTCTTAAGTATTGCGAGAGAGATGGAGACGATACAGATCGCGAGACTGGTTAGGGATGACTCGATTCATAGTAATTTTCGATCTGCAGAGCATACTGAGTGTTGATATGAGCAAGCCTGGAAGTTCAAGTGATTGTCTTTGACAACTTCGAGATTGCTTGGTAAAAGCCCCTGCATGTCAATTCTATTGTAGTTGTGAGCCATCCCAAATCGGTTAGCAAAGTCCATGACTTGCGCCAGACATGGGTTAAATTATTCAATTTTCCTGAATTGACGCCTTGAGGCCCATGCAGGTCTTGTGGGAAGATATGTACTTTGAGTAAAATGACTCAACTTGAAATTTGGAACACTTATACTCAGATTTCGTTTGCAGATACTACTGCAGGTTAATCCTTGTGGCGTGTAATTCCTTCCGTGCAAACCAACCACAGGAAAAAGCGTGAAAACCCTGTGGCCAACCGAGTGTGCTTTCATCATCCCACAAGCACAATATCACCGTGGGAGAGAATGGTGTGTTGGTTTTACTTGATTCGAAACAGCTATCTCCTGTCTCAAATGGGGTAGGTGTTCAAGCTACTTAGTATCTACTTGGGAGAACGGCCCAAATGATTTAGCACTGCGGAGGGCAAGACTGAACACCTGTACGCGGTGTCCTCTACGAACCTAGGAGTGAAACATTCTCCCAGAGCCAAGTTCAGTCAAATTTCGCAATATCAAAGAAGTTGGCCGACGAGGCAAAAATCCAAATTACTCCTCCACATCGTTATTTCGCTCCCAACGAGTTTGACGCCTACCTAAGTCTCATCCATCCTGCAAATACGACCTGGTACATCCTCATTCCAATAATCACACTTCTCCTCGACCTTCTCTGGCCTCAGTTGACCGCCAAATACACGCCCAAGCCGATATTTATACCCGGCGGAGGAAGCAAAGCGTGGCGCACAAATCTGGGAGACAGTTCTTTGGGATAGACGTGAGAGGGATCAGGACAAGTTGAAAAGACGATGCGAAGGAAGGATATAACCTCGGAGGGCGTGAAATTCCGAATTTTGCCCAGGAGTTTTTCGAATTGCGCTTTGCGCGCGTCAACATTTAGCTTGCGAGAGTTCAACTGACACTATAAACACAAGCCGACGATGGAAGGTGCCGTTGTCCGCCTCCTGATGGTGTTCTCCGGTATGGTTTGAGTAGCCCGGGCACCTACTTTACTTGAGAAAGAGATATATCTGATCACATTTCGCGACGAAAAATTCAGTGAAAGATTGAGGCATATCTGTATAACCCAGGGTTCTTGAAGCGTTCCCCTGATTGGGTAATCACGGATGAGGGCCGATCTGGGGTGAAGAAAAAGCCGCCATAACTTCACAGTGGTACTTGCAAATGAAATCTGAGGCATGAGTGCTCTTCCTTTACGTTGAATCATCTATTCTGTACTTTTCTTTGAAATTGTGTCATAGCTAGATAGCTGCATACGCAATTAAAATCTGATGCAAGAAAAAAAGATCATTCACGCTGGCTAGGAATATTATTTGACCGTGCACTTCGATTCCAATATCATACTATACAGACTTGCCGAAAGTCTCCAGATATCAAGAGCCATTTGAAAAGACTCTCTACCACAACTCGAGGAATTAGCCCTCTTTTTATACGAGAAGCCCTGCAAGGTGCCGCATTTGCGACCCTTTCTACGGGGCCGAGACCTGGTACTCCAAAGAGACATCTCAAAAGACAGTCTCGCGACTCCAACCCAGGATGAACGACGTAGCTCGGGTAGCCCTCCCAGTCAATCGTACAACACCAATAGCAGCACTTCTACGAGAAACTGGCTGGGCCCAGCTCAGACGTGGCTCTCCCGAATTCACAGTCATCTGGCGGTTCGAATCGCTGCAGTGGACCCGTACCACCCTCTTCGTAGGCGTTGGAATACTAGTCGCATGCGCTGGATTCGCCAGAGGATCCCGTCAGAACTTTCCGATGACACCATCCCCCCACCATGATACGCACCCCGTGAAGAAAAGCTAATCGAAATTGAAGCAGAAGGTAGACTCCTGGGAGCAAATTCCTTCAAACAGTGGCAGGCTACACGACCTACCCTAAAATTGTTCATATTCTCAGACGGAGCTTTAATAGAAGACCGAGAAGGTGCGGGTTATGTTATCTACTGAGGTCTCACGCAGGAGATTGGGCGAGGATCACTCGGCAGAAGTGTACGATACTGAAATTGCCGGGGCCACGGAAGGTCTTGCCGTAGCTATTCGCAACACACTGGCCTATTATGCCTCTAACGTCACTGTCTCCTTGACAACCAGGAGGCTGCCATCCGTCTGCTCTTGGATACGCCCACAGCGTCCAGCTCGGCAAAAATACCAACCTTTCGCAAGCTCGCAATGAACTGGAAAAGAAGATCACGCGGTTAAAATACGACGCCTGGGAAAGTGGCTATCTAATGGTGCCCAGGCTACGCAGGTATTCTCGGGAACGAAGCAGCCGACGCGCTTGCTAAAGCCGCCTATGCCGCTCCAGCTCCACACTTAGAACTCTCCATTGCGAGGGCAAGGAGAGAAGTCATAGCCCAATACGAGGCTTCAGTCGCACTCTATTGGGCACAAAATTCACCGTCTAGATACAAAGAATTAGGTATTGGTCCTAATACTAAAATCACCATTGAGCTCGCCCATCTGGGGCGACGCACGTTAGGATATCTACTAGCTGCACGGTCCGGTCATGGCATCTTGGCGGACTACCACCGACGGTTTCAGCATGAAAACACCTTTCTAACCTACACATGCGGAGGATAGAAGCCCCCCAACCACTTTTTCTATTGCCACCTTGGGAAATACCAGGCTCAGCTCCAAAGGGCACAGAATTCTAATCCCAGCATATCTTGAGCTCTTGCTACAGCGGAGGGAGTTCATACATTCAGTAGCTGGGTGCGGAACACAACCTCTTTTGGAAAAGCACAACAACAAGTCGGACAAGAATGAAGTCATGTAATAAAAGCGAGAGAGCTTTAAAGCGTCGCAACCAATTTTCCTCTTTACTAACTTTATTTCTTTGCTTTATATTCTCCATGGAATAACATCTGGAAATCATGAGAGACAACGGGAGGCTGATATTCATGTTTAATTAAATCTTATTGTGCTGGCTCGGTTGAGTATTTAGGAGGCAGGGTAATGGAGGATGGGCTGCTGTATTAGGGAAGGGTGGAAAATACAGGCTGGTGGACAGATGCTGTTCATGTACTGTACAATCTCTTCACCTGACGAGTTAAGTGAATTAATCTATCAGAATAATATCATACTTCATATCATCCATTAGATGATATTATGAATCGTCTGGATGGGCATCTAGCATCACCAATATAGATCACCATTGTCAGTAAGACTTCACATTTGATACCTACTAACACACAATTGGCCACAGTGATACGCACTCGGTGTCCATCGTACCATCACCCAGCGTGGGTGCGCCATCTCCGCGACTCAACATTGCACATGAGCCCGTGCCACTCCACCGACGGGCAGCAGAGTCATAATTGCCATACACCTCACGGCTCATAACCACAACAAATCTTCGAGCACAGGATAATAAGATCCTGGTCTCCATTTGCCATGTTGGGTCTACGTAGGCGCCAATACGTCGGCTTGTTTTATATAGACTGGGCTAACCGGTACGTGAGGAGCTCACGTGCTGTGCGCGGGTACGACGTTAAATATTATAAGAAAATAAGAATGTTCCAACGTCGGATAGTTCTATAGGGACTGGGCCGTCCAGTACGTATCATTAGTCACGAGCTGTTGACAGATGTGAAGGGCGAGGAGAATTATGGACACCAGACGTAAATCGTACCACAGAGAGTTAATATTTTTCCCTAGAGATTTACCACAGGAAGTCCTCTGCATTACATACGCCCGCTGCAGCCACCAGTGATCCAGTTTCCCGACACGAATTCTTTCGCTTCTCAATGATCTGTTTATCAGCCTCAGCATAATTAACCGAGCGATTCGAGTCTCGAGAAACTCTAGTAAAGATCACGTGGCTAGTGTCCCTGAACGAGGCTGGGCCTCAAAGATAGCCCAGCCTAACCGAACTGGGCACAGCCCGTAACAAGAGGCACGACGTTAAATTCATTCTAACTCAATCTG